AAGTTGCTTCTCTTTTGGGAGATAAAAGCTAACCCTTCCGTAATTATTTCGTCTCTCTCCTTTTTATGTTTCTTTTTTCTTGCATTTAAATGATACAATGAATGTGGATAACGTTTAAATGAGAATTGCTTTTTTATTTTTCTGGGGAGAAGGTGGAACTACCTATTCATGGAACTGTATTTAATTGCTGTTTTGTTCTTGTTTCTCCAGGCTGTTGAGAGTGTGAATATTTTAGCTTGTATAAATGTTACCTGGGCAAAATGATATTGTGTAATTCTTAAGAATTGCAATTACTAAACGTTATTTTGAAGTACGAACCGGAATTATATTTTTACTTAATTTACAAAATTTTAATTATTGCTTCTCATCTTGTTTTATTAATTGTACCTCGAAAATTTGGGATATCAATTATCTTTGCCAGAATGAACAACCGTGTTCACAAAATATTTAATAACTAACGAATAGATCGTAAATGAAATGATGAACAGGATTATGAGAGCAATAGAATCGAGCAAGATTGCTTCGTTAATTTTATCGGGAATAAAACTGTAATACGTTTCCTGTTGGCTGTGCTGCGGCGATGATGAACACTTTAACGAGAAGAAAGCCCGCGACAAGTATTAAGTTTCCCGAGAAAATGAATACCCAAGCATTCGATTACTTCTCCGGTACAAGTTTCCATTGAAATGGATTATATTTAGCATCAAATTATTTACGAGTATACCACAGTTATTGTGCAATCATGGATTCTATAAAATAATGAATTTTTATTTAAAATGTTGCATATTATAATAAATTTCAAATCTTTTTTTTTTAAATCTCTGATTAGTAAAAGAATCTATGAACCTTTGTCGTCCATTAGAAAGCAACATTAAAAATAAAAGATCCTCATTATTCCTCGGACAGATAACTCTCCCCGAACTGTCAGGAACTTAATTGACTTCGACAATTCTAGTGCAAGCCTCGTAATGTTCACCCAGCCGAGCAATAAGCAGTCAATTATTCAGGGAACGTAATTACCGCGTCGATAATTATTAAACTCTAATAACGTTCTAGCACAGCACTTTCCACGTTAGTTCCTCTCCTTAACTATCTTGACTACGAATAAAACGATATCCTCCATTTCCCAGAAGCACCCTCGGATCAGGTTGTACAGTTTCACCAAGTTCAGTGACACTTTTCTACCTACGCAGGAAACTCGTCGATCTACAACGAACTGGCAGCCATATCGGATATTCGATATCCTTTTAATGGACAGGATAAACTGCAACCGCGTAAATCGTCACGTTGGTTTGCAGAATATCCTGTTACGTGGAACCAGACGTATTCATATGTATATATTTCCTTTTTTCATGTAAAAAGATGGTGCGCTATTATTCTCTTTGAGATAAATTGAGCTTTGCAGTTGGTTTATGGTCCTCTATCTTGGACGAGAAAAGGTATGAATAAATTCAATTTTAAAATGCAAACACAGGAAAACGTACTTGTACGTCTCTGCCACAATCAATAAAATTTGTTTTATCTAGACGTTCAAATGAATGAGTAATTATATTTTTCAGTGTTTTAATCAAGATAATGCCGCGTTAAATAAAAATGAAACTAAGGATAATGATATACAAAGCGTAAGACGAGAAGATTTTAAGGTATTAATTTTTCCTGTGTATTAAAGTACATCAAAGTATAACAGTCTTCTTTAACCAGATATTTTAATTAAAAACACTCTTATACTTTAATCCGATATTTCATAAAGAAAAATTTATAGCTATCTTTCCTAAATCTCCCCATAAAAAAGCTTCTAATGTTTTATGTTATTCAAAGCACATGTACATCAATCTAAAAATACGAACACGTTTTGGAACACATTTTTGACATTTGTGAAAATCATCAGTATTTTATCGCGACACCAGTGAACTATATACATTAGAGGCTTTCCATCTGATAACATGTAAAAGGGTAAAAAAAGTTTCTTTGTTCGTGTCACGCGATCTCCGCGTCGAAAGCGTACAGTTAATTGCCGAGTCAACTTATTGTTCTCGAGTAAGAGTCAATATATACGAAGTAGACAGAATAAATTGGGGTTGAAGGGTGCAATCAATCGGTGGGAAGGATGCCAGCCATTAAAGATGCAGCTCAAGTGGATGGAAACATTGTTTAACGTTTCTCGAATATTTCGCAATATTTTACGACTGAATATACTGGGTCAGAAGAGACCCATTATTGACGTCAGAAAATTAACTATTCTCTAAGTTAATAATTGAAATTAATGAAACGAATTTTTGTAGATTACATCTTTGAATTTTCTCCCCTACAAATTTCGTTGTATGTATCTCCTAAAAATACCCCCCCATAATTAACGTCCACCGTAACATCGAACAATCTATTGTTCCCGTACTTTAATGTACATTGAAAAATGAAATCCTTCACCCTAGTCTCGACTCGAGGAACAAAGGTCCGTGTAAAAAAAGATGCGTCGCTTCCGTAAAAACGGGTGTTTACATCGTCCCTGTTATAAGGGAAACGAGGCATCGAGTTAATTCGCCAGCCTGTCGCTTCCTTTTTGTGCGATTGAAAAGAAGGCTGGACCTTTTGTATCCGTCGTCAGGAAGGAAAAGTTCGAGCGGTTGGTAGACGAACGAAGGGATCGGATAGCTGGCTGGAAATCCGCCTCGAGCTTGCTGCTTATTTTTCTAAGGGTTCCCGTTGGCTCGAGTAATTACGCCTACATATGTATGACAGGTCTGAGGGTGAAACCCTTGTAACATTGAAGCCCCCGCCGCCACCTGACGCAGCCACGCTTTAAGTGGAAACGTTTCGTGCCGACGAATAAGTGTTATCAACCATCGTGTTTCGGTAGGCCTTGCTGGCCATTACAAACGATAAAGAAAAGTAGAGATTGAAAAATATTGCTAGTTACCGAACTATCAATAATTGAGCAGTTGAAATTGTAGACGATGTAACCACCCTTGTTCATAAGTTGTTGAACACTTATTATGTAGTTTCAGCTTTAGGTGAAACTCATAAATTCATCAACACGGAATTAAGACTCTTTTTAAGTAATTAACAGCCATAATTAAAATAACCGTATACGACACAGTATAATAAAAATTTAATTTTTCAATTTAACATGGTAAATGTGTTAATAATAAACTACTCTGAATTAGTACGAAAATTCACTTTTTCCTATCATTAAAACTCGTTTCACAATTGTATATATATAATAATTAATTGCACTGATTCGTGCATGAAATAATTATCTGAAGATCCAATTTATTCCCATTGTCAGAAGGAAATTATTTTCAACATCATTAGTTATCCTTTTAGAGCTGATTTTAACGAACATACTTCTATAATACTATACATATACAATTTCTTAAATTTATTAGCTTAATATAGGACAAGAGGCAACTGAATAAAAACGCATAGAAAATAATGAGAACAGGTATTCAAATTATGAATTCAAGGTGAAATTGCTGCTTACCGTAGAAGTACAATCAAACATCGTTTATTAAGCTCGTTTTATTGAAAGTGTCCTTATTTCACCCATACTTTTAATGCGCGATAAAAGTAGGTATATATTTTTACACACGTATTGTACTTTACAATACTAAAGCCTTGACAATTCAGCGTGTTGACAATAAATATATGGCCTCGTAATAGATGTGCCTTTCTATGCATTAATTCTTAATATGTCCTTATCAGGAAAATGAAAGGTTAATGAAAAATGAATGTGCAAACGAGTTCAAGCTTATGTTTGAATTGAGTAGTGAATAATGCATAAAACAGTTGATTACACGTAATATTGTTTTCATCTACGAAAAATCTACAAAGGGTTCCAGTGAAATTTATTAACATTTCACATGATAATGTCATATTCAAATTTTAGTTTCTATTAATTTCATTTAATTAAATTCTATTAATTAAATTCTATTAATTAAATTTTCATGATTTATTCTACTTATAAAATTTATAATAAATTGTCGTAACAATTTTTGTATACAGACAATTTAATAGTGGCTATATCAGAGGTGCTTAAAATTCGTAACCCGGCTACATGTCACTCGGAGCACTTCACAACCCTAACTCCGATGGGTGTGAAAATCAATGCGTGAAGTGTTCTCTTTGTATGCTTCATATGTGTGCATGTGGTTTGCACAAGTGTGTGGATCATACGTGGGGTTGAATCGAAATAAAAATTCCTTTTCGTTCAAGCTCAAATATTTTTAAATCAAATTTTACCACAACGATGAAATATGAAATTATTATTCGTTGAATAATAATGCCTGATCCGAGGCACGTATGTCCAGCAGAATATATTGAAAGGAGGAGAATGAAAACGTAAAACAGCCTGGAAAACCGCAAGCTTATGGTTCTTTTTATGAAGCTGTCTTTATGCAAATTGAACTTTTACACACTTATGACGTTCACAGTGATACGAGCGCACTGAGTATATTTTGTTCGGCTCTACTGGTTCATTTACAAAAACGTACGAAATTTTAATTAAATGTAACACTACTCTGCTTTTCTGGCGCGTGAAAAGGCTCGTCGGTGCATTTCTCGTATGGGATTTGACTTTCAAATTCTTATTAAAGCATGCGTTATGCATTCAAAACTGAAACGAAACGTGTACCGAGATATTCGCTAAATTCTCACGTTTAAAATAATACGTGTCGTCTGTATGGGAGCTTTGAATAAAAATTTTCATGATGAGCTTGAATCATTATTGCGCAAGACATTTCAATAGCTATTGTTGTCTTGCATTATAAGAATGACCTAAAATTTTCAAAACAATAATTTTAATAAATTCTTACTAAAACCGAGAGTGTCAATGATTAGTGGTTAAGGCCAGGAAACCCGGAAATTCGGGAAGCCTATGAGAAAGGGAGGGAGGAGGGCGAAATATCGCCATTTTTCCTAAAGAAGTCTACCATGCACGGAACTGTACCAAAGCTTTCACGAGACACGTTAACGGTGATAAAGATCGTTTCTCTCTTATTTAACAGGACGAGGGATGGAAACTAGACCGTACAAATTACTACCAGGAAGGATGGCTGGCCACCGGTAACGCTCGGGGGTTGGTAGGGGTGACTTTTACCACGTCCCATTGCCGGACAAGGGCCACGGAACTTCCGCTCAGAGCAAATTACAACCTCCGTGGACATCGTAGCGAGGTAAGTTTTATTTCTTCTTTACTTTTACACGCGTCCTCCCTTTTATTTCTTCAATCGTTCTTTTCAAACCACCTCACCACCTAATATAGCCCCGACGTTTGTAATCTCCGGTATTTCAGTGATCTCCGTGAAAACGATGGCAGCTCTTGAAACGTTGATTCGATAAGTTTTCTAGTCAAGGCTACGAGTTCTTTGATCCATTAATCAAACTTACTACTGTGTAGGTTCGTAACTAATTTCACGAACTTTCAATCAATCATCGTACCAAAATATACTTCATTAATGATTCATGAAGATCTTTAACCCCATAAGGTTGAAAGAACTATGAACTTTTGTAATATTCTAACACAGACAAATATGGCGAAATAATAATTCTACTGCTAAAAATTCTGCTCAAATGCAAATGTAATTATTGCAGCAGAATGAAATGAAAATTACAATATACGGGCGACAAGTGGAGGCACGAAAATTGGAAGCATGTTGAGTCTCGAAAATCACGAAAGCAGAATAGTCTTCGAACAATGTTGAAACGAAGCATGAATGGAGAGACTAGTGGCCAGTTCTCTATTATTCTGACCGTTGCCCGTGTATTTTGCTCTTAATCGTTCTCTACACCTCGATGATCCTCCAAGAAAGGATCCACTGTTCGTATAAGTGAACTCGCTGAATGAAACTGCAACTTAATATACCTTCCACCAAGTGTGCATCGCACAATTCCGATTATTTCACAGACGGCCGGAACAAAGACGAACGAAATGAAATGCGGTGAGACGAGTCAGCAGCAGAATTTCGAGTTTACGGTTTAACCCTCTACTTTGCGGGACGTGTTATAAATTTTCTGTTTGCTTGTAGTCGCTCGTCTCTGTCCGAGATCATTTATTTAATCCTATCTGTTCTATATTTTAAAATTATGTTACAATGTTAGTGTCCCACTCGAGTAATTAAACTGTTAAGTTTTAAAATGCCCTAACTCTCAACCCTCGGACGGCGCACGATTTGAAATTAATTTAATTTTTCATTTCACATTTTCATTTTCTAAATTTTACACTGTTCTTAGGAATACGACCTAATTTATCGGCAAAGTAGGAAAAATTTTCCAACCGCGTCCAAAATACCCCCCGAGTTTTATCGGTGGCTCGCATCCATCCAATTTCTTTCTCGATTTAACGCGGCCGCGTCATGTAATGGGTTGCTATGGACTGGGTTCTGTCAGATAGGGTGTATACGCGAGCACAATGTTCTCTGGATGTGTTCGATAGCTTCTCGCAGGCTTCATTCCACGCTGCCGCAAAATGGGTTCTCGATTGAAAATAGCTGTACAGTCGTATCAAGACCGTACCTGTCAATGTACCACACCGACGCGACTTGTTAGTTGTGAAGGGTCAACGGTGTACCGTAAAATTAGGACCTTGGGGACTGCAAGATAGTGTGTGTATTATGTAAAAATTAGAAATTTGGAAATTAGAAAAATCTTCATAATAAATCTACCCGAACTTAATTATTATAAATGAAATTTCAGTTTCATAAGGAAATGCAAAAGAAATCAGTACATTGAAAATAAATCTGTCATTTATAGGATGCTTTAATCTGAAGAAAAATCTATTTTTCGTGGTTGACCGGTTAAAAAAGTGGTTTAAGAGAGTAAAAACCGTGCGACGAAGATGAAGATGCGTTTTTCTTTCGCATGGAATATCTCGATAACGGCGAAGGATGTAAAAAGAAACTGAAGTATATCTAACATCAGTTTTTGAGCGCTATAAGATGCCATCAAAAGTTTATTTTAAATATAAAATTCCCTCGTAAGCACAAGCATCGTCGTATGGTAAAGTCTTTTAGATGTTGCTTTTATGCAACTTTGTGGAGGAAAAGCTTCCATAACAAATGTTCTTTCTCGTCGAATTCAATCACTGTTATTTTCAATATAATAAACTTGTTTAAGATTTACTAATTTTTGAACTGTGTTATGAAAGTTTTCCAAATTTTTAAATTATATTCTAGGAATCTTTCCAATTTTGGAATAGTAGTAAAGTTTCCCCAATTTTAAATTAGTAGTCCAGGAATTACCCCAATTTTCGATTCCTGTTACAGTAGTTTCCCTAATTCCCAAATCGTATTAGTATCTTCTAAGCAATGTTGTTTTTCCCGGTTCGAATTTCCACGAAAACGAAGCGTGCATTCCGGCAAGAATTAACCCTAAGATCGCGTCAAAGAGAGTTTATTTCATACATTTTCGTGTAAGTTTTCATCGAGCGTAAACCGGGTGCAAGCAACGCCGGATCCTTTGTCGAGGGTCTCAATCGATATTAAGCCGTGGGCTGTTTTAACGAACCGCAACTGTTCCGACTCGGTGTCGTGCAACTCTATGAAATATTTCGCAAAAGATTCATAGCACCGGAGCACATATGCAAACTTTACGTCGGCCAGATTTTGGAATATTAATATTGCCGGTCTCAAATCGCTGGATTTCCACTTTCCACCTTCATTTCCCCTCCTTTTACACATTATTACTTCATATTTCGCCTTCCGCTTTATCATCCGCCTCGAAAAGTCTTTTACCCTCTTCAACAGAGTGTCCCATTATGAAATGTTAGCAACCTGGCTATCAATTTTATATAAATAATTCTAAAAGGAAGAAACTTCTATAAAATCCCTAGAGAGTTTGTGTTTTCGGTTGAAATGGGTGTTTCCATCTGGAGGGGTTGCTTTTGGGTATTTTTAGACTTGACAATTAATGGACCATAGGACTTTAATTAATTAAATATTGATGTGAAATAAAAGAATTTTTAATAAAAATTTCAACCCTTTAGTTCGATTATTTGGAAATATAAATTCAGAAAAGTTTGTTAGAAAGTTTTATAACTGCACATTTGTTCACGTAATTACACGTTCGGTGGTGTAATTTTCTTACAATTTAATTGATTCTACCAGCACATCAAAAGTTGTCTTAACATTAGTTGGTGCTTTCACAGGCGAAGCACTTTGCATTTCAGAGTTGCCTGACGATGCTTCGAATAAGGTTGTAGAATTCGTGTTGCTGTTAATTAAATCCAGATCAAGCTACGAAACAGCGTGTAGTATCAAAATGCGTGTTCGTGAACGAGTTGCGTGTTCAATTATCGACTTTGAAACATCCATGATCGTTTTCCTTCTTTGGGAACCCCTCAGGGAAAGTAGAACGTGAGATAATTTCGAAATACCAGTGACCAGAGAATTCAATTTAACAAGAAAATTTCAAATATAATTTCCTTTCGATAATTATCCTTTGTATAGAACGCGTGATAATTAAATTAACACGTTTGATCTTACGTGGGTTACCATTGACCCAGAAGGGACTTTACATGAACAGGAATATTATTTAACGCAATAAAGATAAAGAGAGACAAACTGAGAGAAATTTCGAGTAGTCACCATCGCGATATAATTGAATTTTCTAATATAACATTTTGACCTGAGCTTACTTAACTTCGGTCGTAAACTTGAAACTTCGTATAGCGTTGAAAGTTTGAAAACTTTGAAATTGTCAAGTATAATAATTCTATTCGAATAGGAGTGTCAAGAACATCAGGGATTTTATCTATCTTTAATTTAACACGAATAAATGTTATAATCAAGATCGAAATTCACAATATTCTAATAATTGAAAATTTTGAAAGAAAAAAAAAAGTATTTCATAGTCCATGATTTTGAGCAACATACCACGTATAAGTTGAATCAATATTAAGTAGAGGATACTTCTAAAATGTACTCATTATTACTTAAGAAGGATTTATTTGCGCGTTTTCTTTTCTTTTTCCGTGAATCATGACAAAGGACTAGAACGTGTCTTTTGCGTTCACTTCGGTCCACATTTCAGAGTTTAAGGGTAGCCGACGTGGTATCGATCTGGCACGCAGTGCTGTTTTAAGACAGTGGCTCTCAACCCTATCTTCAAAGGTATTCCAATTTCAAGCGCTTTCGATTCAAGTGGCTTCCTTCATTGTTCTTGTTCACTGGGGGGTGGCTCTGTGTATATCATTTACGTTATTTTCCCTTTTCATCGCGAACAGTTGATTCGACAGTTGCAAATTGGACACTTATGCACACATTCTTAACCCTTATCTACCACTGATGTCAATTTAACAGTAAATATCTTGCAATATTGTTTCAGAAATATTTGACGAATATTTTGGTAATTTTGCATTCATGCAATAGAATGCAAGAACTGTTTTAACTAATTTTTTATTAACTGCAATTATAAGAATAATATTAAGAAATTTTCATCTTTTCAAATTCCCCAAACAATAAACTAAGCTTGCATTTCTCGAGAATGGAATTATCAAAATTGTCTCGCAATCAACCTCTGTCTTATCTCTGAACCTTAATGACGTCTAGATGGTAACATCTTTGAATCATTGATAACTCATTATCGACAGCTCGTATGTGTCTCAAAGACGTGATGCATAGGATCGAGACATCCATCATTATTCTAGAACGGCGACGTTGGATTCCATCAAGGTGTCACTGATTATAATGCATGTTCTGTGACTTGTCAGTGAACGAATGCTAAGCCAATTCTAGGACGCATTATAATTCTCATAAATTTCTAAGTAGTAACGTGATTATTGCAACGAGAATACCAGGAATTGATCGTCGGTGAATGAAATTTTAACAATCGGTTCCAATGAAAGTAATCACGATCAAAATCATATCATTCCGCGAACGTTTCCACGTGCAAGCAGACTTTCACAGGTGTAAGCTCGTATTTTCAGTTATTTCTGTTCTAGGCCGTACCATTCGAACGTTTGCGAATCGATATCACGATTATACATGCTAGTTGTGCCGTGGATGATTAGGCTAATCGAGCAATCTTCGTGTTTTCTCACTGTTAATTTTTTCGCTGGTCTGACCCATGAAATGGTACTTTTGATTTTTGCAGATCCACACCCTTAATGATATTGCATACGAATTTCTTTACTAATTTTAATTATAATTCCCAGTACGTTTCGAATTTACGATAATTG